CTACTACTGCTACTACCGCTACTACTACTACTACTACTACTACTACTACTACTACTGCTGTTACCACTGCTACTACTGCTACTACTGCTACTACTGCTACTACTACTACTACTGCTACCATTACTACTACTACTACTACTACTACTACTACTACTACTGCTATTTCTACTACTACTACTACTACTACTACTACTACTACTTCTACTACTACTACTACTACTACTACTACTACTACTACTCCTACTACTCCTCCTCCTCCTGCTGCTGCTGCTGCTATTGCAACTGCTACCACGACGACGACTACTGCCACTACTACCACCACCACCACCGCCACCCCCACCACCACCACCAACACCACCACCACCACCACCACCACCACCACGACCACCACCACCATTATCGAGTTTACCACTACGTGATTACACAGTCTCGAGACAGTTGTTTTGCACGTACTTCACTCCAACTTTTTTCTCGGATTCCTTCGTAACGATAGTGCGATCGTAGTGCGATGTTCCCATACGGTACTCTGCATTCGAAAGCCTAAGGCGTAGACCCCGGGGCCTGTCAAGCCCTAGCTCAAGCACCCGAAGATAGATCAAGCCAACGCCTGAGGTGTTAGACTAATCAGGTTGCTTTTTTTGCGAGCTGAGGCTAGTCATCCGGAATTTTCGCGAAATCGATCAGAGCTAGGAAAGTCTCAAGAATGCTATGAAAGTGCGTGAAAAGCTATACAAAGCTATAGAAAATAAGAGTGCTGTAAACGGCTAAACAAATCTACTCATCATGCAAGAATATCTCCTAGCGCGCACTTTGATTTTCCACGCCACTCTCGATACTGGCTGTTCGGGGGCCTCCCCATCTCAATTTCCAGTTTGCTATGAAAGCCCTGGCAAAACTAGGGACATGTAGGACAAGCTAGAACAAACGTCGAAGAAACTAGAAGAAGCTAAGAGCTAAGCTAGAAAATAAATGGTGAACAAAGCAATAACAATTTGGAAAATGCTAGAAAAAGCTTCAAATCGGAGCCTCTAGAAAGTCCTACCCAGTCAAGTTTTCAGTCAAGGAGACATGATTTGACTTTTCTCGATGTGTCTGCCCGAAGAAGCACCGTTGGTATAATACCTAATGTGCCTCAAAGTATAAGCCTTAAACCATATCCGTGTACTCCTTTTCCGACCGACGCAAAGGACATGGAGCAAGTCGAGCCCATTTTTCGCTTGCTGGACCGGTCCCACGGCACTGCACTGATTTTGGGTTCGCGGTGCTATGGGCCCTAAACCCTAAGCCCCCTTTTCGGGTTTATAGTTACTAGTGAGATTCACAACAAGAGGACTGTTGATAGCGGTTTTGTTTCAGACCCTCTGAACCTATAGTCTGTACACCCACCCGAGAATCCTAAACCCGACAATCCTTAGGGTTTAGGGTTAGGGTCTCAGCCCTTCAAGAGTTTGCCGCGGAGGTTTTTCGTCTTCGTCTTCACACTGGAGCTCCTGATGCGACTTGCAGTGGAGACTTGCCACAGAATCAAAAAAGCGAAAATTGCAAGCCCGGGCCTTAAATGCGGAGGTTAACCCTAGAGTCCTAGAGCTTAAACTGACTTGCTACACCCTACACTGTTTCGGTTTCGGATCTCTGTGCAACCCGGGCGCTGGGAGTTCTGTGTTCAGGAAATAGGGTTCAGGGCTCGCACAAATCAGGAATAGTAGTAGCATGGTTTAGGGTTCGGGGTTAAGGGTTTAAGGTTCAGGGTTTAGGGTTTACAAAAACCCACAATATCCCGCCGTTTTGAGGACGTGTATAAGGAACGCATAGTGGAGAACCTTCAAGTATGTAGGTTTTGACGGGTCCATGTAGGCTTAAGCGCCCCCTGAAGAAACGGGGCTCTGAAGCACCCGGGCTCTGGAGTGTAGGGTTGAGGTGTTAGCAGTTTAAGGTTGAGGGTTTATAGGGTTTAGGGTTTATTGGGGTTTATAGGGTTTATAGGGGTTGTAGGGCTTATAGTGCTTATAGGGTTTATAGGGTTCAGGGCTTATCGGGTTTAGGGTTTAGGGGTCAAGGGATTCCAGCAGAAGCCGATTTTTTGAAGGCCCCTCTACTACAAAATTATATAGTATCTAAGCCCTAAACCCTAAACCCTTATGGAGCTCTCAAATGAGCCTGATCGACCTTGTTCTGAGGGTTCGGGGGTAAGACTCTCCGAGTCCCAAAACCCCGAAATGGCCCCTAAACCCTAAGGTTTACGGTTTAGGGTTTATAGGGTAAGAAATTAGGGCTTATAGGGTTTAGGGTTTAGGGTACCAGAAAGCCCTTAAACCCTACCTACCCACAAGTAATATAGGGGCCTTAATCATTAGAATAAGGCTTTGGGGCCCATTACACTATAATGATACTAAGGAACCCCCAAAACCCTAGTCTAGTTATTAAGGCCCCTACATTATTCGTGCCGCCGCCCAAGGAAAGGTCGGAGTTCCGAAAAGAGTGGACCAACTGGTTGGATGTGGTTCTCGTGCACCGGCTGCAGTGAGTTCGGGAGTTCGGCTTCTATGTTTTTTAGGGGGTTTGGGGGTTTGGGGTTGGGGTTTGCGGTTTCAGGCTTGAGGGTTTTACGGATTTCGGGAATTAGGGTTTGGGGGTTTGAAAATATGGGTTCAGGGTTTTGAGGTGTCAGACTCCAGGGATTTAGGGTTTAGGGCAAAAGAATTTGCGCAGCATGGCGGAGTGGACAACTAAACCCTAAACCCTAAACCCTAAAGCCCTAAACCCTAATACCCTAAACCCTAAACCCTCCGAAACCCTCGGCGGAGTGGACAAGATGCACCTCTCTGCAAGACTCCCCAATGGATCCTCAGAGCGAAGCTTCATGTACAGCAAGCAGAGGTTTAGGTCTAGGGGCTTAGGGTTTGGGGGCTTAGGGTTCAGGGCTCAGGGGTATTATGGTGTAGGTCGCGTTATTTTTGTTTTCTGGGTTTAGTTTTTGAAAGTTTTTGGGTCTTGGGACGAAGGCGTGCCTCGAACTCTATCCCTTAGCATCAAAATAGCCCAGAAGCCTTCTATAGTAGGGTCTTTGGGCCCAAAAGCCTTAAAATATGAGTCCCTCGATGGTAAGGGTTATTAGTTTCTCAACGCACATATGAGGTGCTAAGGCGCCTAGGTTCTTATCTTGGGCTGTAGTGAGACTTTGGGCCTTAAGACTCTGGGCTAAGGCTTAGGACACAGGGCTTAGGGCTTAGGGTTTAGGGTTTTGGGTTTAGGGCTAAGGGTTTAGGGTTTAGGGTTTAGGGTTTAGGGTTTAGGGTTTAGGGTCTAGGAAGATGATGGTGGACAGCGCGCCGCAACCCTACGCCCTCGAGTGATGGCACACGCCAGAAGCCTAAACCCCTAGACCCTAAACCCTAAACCCCATCCCGGAGGGGTTTGTGTTGTAATGAATCAATATATATATATATATATATATATACAAATAAATATAAAAAAAAGGCTCTGGTGTCGTGTCAACGAGGCTGGTAGCTCAACAGTTCTTCACTTGTGACATGTTACGTGCATGTGTACGTGTACGTTTGGAGGATGCACGTTGAGACGTCTCAACGTGCAATGTGGCCATTGCTGTATCGAGACATCGTCCATGTCTTTCTGTGATCGCACGGCTTGATTATGTGTGCTCAACGTATCATCGAATGATATCGAATGTATGCCCTCAATATGCCTACACGCATACGAAGGCAAAGAGCTAGAGAGAAATACAGAGAGGCGGAGAGAGAGAGAGAGAGAGAGAGAGAAAGTCGATGCTTACACCGGTAGATATGATCCTGGCCTCTCCGTGAAAGAAGAATCCCAAAACCAAGCAACTCAAAGATACCAGAACCCCTAAACCCGACATAAAAGACAGCGAACCCTAAGCCAGAACGTGTGGAATAACCCTAAACCCTAAACCTTCAATGAAGCAAGGGACCCTTGCACGGAATCCTTCACTGTGGGAGCTGGAAGTAAACATCCCTAGGCCCTGAGCCCCAAACCCCGAACCCTCAACCCTGAAGAAAAAACACCAACCCCAAAAAGCCCAGACCCCAAACCCTGAACCCTAAACCCCCAAACCCCCAAACCCCTAAACCCCGAAACCCCGAAACCCCAAACCCCACAAACCCAGACCCCAAACCCCGAACCCTAAACCCGGATCAGGTGGTTTTGGGCCTGGTCGACTTCTATTTCAGCTTACAAGTTGAATCGGGCGATGTGGTTCCCAAAGACATCGTGCTGCTGAGGCCGTTGGGGTTTAGGGTTTAGGGGCTTTAGGGTTTAGGGGTTTGGGGTTTGGGTTAGGGGTTTAGAGTCTAGGGTTTAGGGCTTACAGGGGTTTCGGGTTTAGGGGTTAGGGCGTATAGAATCTATCCTATCGGGAGTTTCGGGTTTGGGTTCAGGGTTGGGTGTGTTTGGCGTCGGGGCTTTAGGGTTTATAGAGTTCAAGGCACGAGGATGGTCCTAACGTGGGGGCAAGTGCTAGGACTTGGGGGTCTTGCGGTTTAGGGCTTGGGCTTGGAGAATTTCGGGGTAGGATAGGCGTTCAGGGTTGGGAATAGGATTAGTCGGTTGGGGCCCTAAGCCCAAACTCTAATTTAAACCCTGAACCCTGAACCCTAAACCCTTAGAATGCTCCTGGGGCATGGCTGATGCTTTCAAAGAATACTTATAATAGGTTTTGGGGTATATTCTGTTGTTGCAGTATGGTATGCCCTGGCGGCCTCTATTATCAAGGGGTCACTCAGGAACCCAGAATGAGAAATGATATCCTTTACGGCTCCTTGCTATGATTATGGGATAATATATCATATCCCCCAACAAATCCTGTTCCAGGTAAGGCTACTATCGACAGTTGATTCTTCCTGCACTATTGCGGCATTGTCGCGCCTTTTGTTGCTCTACGTATTGCACGACTTGCTCATCTTGACACTAATTCTGTTTGGCAACACCCAGAGACTGAGAAGAGAACGAGTCCGGCATCTCTCTGCAAACGTGATTCATGTAGCATGAGCATGGGTAGTTGTCTCTTTTGCGGTCACTATGAAATTCGGGAATCACCCTCTTGGGGACCCAGAAGGGATCAGTCCATCCTACGACCCGAACCCTCCCTACACTGGGCCTACCTTCTTCCGGCACGGTTCCCCTAAAGAGCTACAGGTAGTCAGTATAGAACTCGGAATAGTTGGTACTTCCTGAATTGGGTTGTGAGGGCTCCTTGCACTATAAGTTGTAGCAAGATACCAAAACCCTATGCAAGTTCTAACTGAAGGCCCATATATAAAGTATAAGTTGGAGCTCACGGAAGGCTGGTTCGGGCTCTGAAGTCCCTGCGCGCCTTTCGGATGATGCGAAGCTTCCGACTCTTTCGCGGGCTGCGCTTGCTGGTGAAAGCCTGTCACTTGATTGCAGAGATCTGATCTCTTTGGACTCTTTCTCCCTAAGGTTTCATGTACCCAAATAGTATATACATTGGCCCTAAAGTACCTATATCGGGACTACATTAAGGCCAAAGTATATACTATTCGGGTACATGGACCCTGAGGGTCTGTCTTTCAGGGTTCCATCGGCTCTATCGGGGTTCTATCGGGCAAGAGGAACGGCAGAGCTAGCCAGGGTGCTTGGATGCGCGCCAAATAGAGGTTTTCTTTGCTGCAGTCCAGTTTAACATCACCAGCAACGTCCACGTAAGCAACATCCCCATACAGTCCTATTGCACTCGCTTCGTCACCAAAGCCATCCTTTGGAAGCAGCAGCAGGGACAGCAACAGCACTGGTAGCTGCAAAAAGGCCGACAACAATAGCACCAGCCTCACCTGCAACAGCAGCCTTGGCTGTAGCTTATCAGCAGAAGCAGCATCGACAACAGCCATTGTTGCCATAACGACAGCACTGCTAGGTCCAATGAAGCCCTACCAACAATGTAACATGATGTTCACCACCGCGGACATCAACAGAAATTGCAGCAACCACTACAAATTAATGGCGGCGACGACGACAACACTACCACCAACACCCACCACTACAACAACACCAGCAGCAGCAGCAGC